CCGAGATGCGACTGGGAGGCGATCCGGTTTGCGACGAGGAGGTCCGAGAGCGAGTCTACGGCCCGCTGCCGTGTTTCCTCGGACCCCACAGACTGATGAATGTTCCTGAATTTCTGCCCTTTTCCCCGGCCTTATCCATGCAGAACATTGTTGAAAGGGCATCATTTTTTGGATGGTAAGTATCTAGGAGGGACATGTTGTAGCCACATGTGCTTTATGGCTTCCCAAAGGCCTTTTGTTAGTGCGAAATCGAAGGGTAGCATGATAATCGCATATCACTACGTATATCTCAGCAATTGCCGAAGGACGCATTGCAATCTCCGCAGCGAAAAAATGGTGTACCGCATCCAAACCCTGGCCCGCCCAATCCTTCAGCAGCATTCGCTGATTGCATGGACGGAGCCGGGATCCGCATCCAAGACAACATCCATGCATCCTGTCGCAGTCACCTGTCTCTCATAACAGTCAAGCACATCTACCACTCCCCATCATCAATTTCGTCTTGGTGTAAATGGACTGATGTGGTTTGCTGATCAGGAGGCAAGATGATATGCGTTGGGCCGGAACATTAACACACGTGGATGCATCGCCTGTGGCATATCATAGGACGAGCCACTCTTTGAGGACCAAGCCTTATCATCTTTCAATTCGTTAGCTACTAATAATCACTCCTCGCTAAAAGCTGTGTTGACATTAACAATCACAAAATGCCGGTACTTTCGTCGTCAAGAACCTGTAATCGTTCCTAGACTAGGTATTTGCCGAGCCTCCGTGCGGCTCTCGAAAGTTATGTGTCCTTCCACTAGACTTGCGTATACTCGATGTTGATTTTGCTCGCCCCCTTTGAGGTGTCGACAATTTCTGCCCACGCCGAAGTCGAAAGGTGCATGGTAGCAGTAGCTGACTTTTTACCGACGGGGTTGTTGGAATGGTCAACCACTTTAACCTGAATCGTTTTCGATTTGCAGGCGCGCGGAACCGAACTAAGACACCGCACTAAATACCGCCTGCCACATGCCGCCCCATTATCCCAAAGTCCATCACCAACAGATACGAATAAATTGCCGGGAGGGAACTGATCCGGGCTATTGCCGTTACACTTGGTTGGTATATAGGGTGTGGACCAAAAACCAGCAGTGGCGATATCAGCGCTGGCAAGTGGAGTTAAGATGCTGAGTAACAATGAAAGTCTCATGTTGCTATGAAAAGATATTGTGAGTACCTGTATAAATAGGAAATGGGGCGCAGGGATTCTTACAGAGAACGAAGGGCCTATTTCGCAAAATGGGATTGATATCGACTGTACTCTGTAGTCTGCAGTCTGGCAACAACTAGAAGTTGGCGAGCCAGTATTTATGGTTGAATTTCAGCCGTGGCTCTGATATGTCATACCAAAGACTTTACTATTGCAGATAATTACGCAGGCCTCTCAGGCCATCACGGAGTAGTCCAAGATTAAGTGTTAACTCAACAGTTGAAATAGATGCCATATCAAGCACTAAAACAATTTAAGTTGTCTAAGAAACTTTATTTCTGACTGGTGGAAATAATCGCTCAGAGTGGCATGGGAAGGCGGGACCACGGCGAACATAAACCCGAGTTAATTAAAACAATTAACTTCTTTGAAAGATGAAGCGCGGTATTGCCAGTTGAGAAAACTTTGCTTCGAGCAAGGGAGGTGACTATGATGGTCAAGGGCCTTGAATCGCGGCACAACAATTTACGATAACACGCTGAGTTTGTTACCGAGTTGCGACATAGAGACACCATGATAATTAAAACGAATTATTCACCGAAGCTTAAGGACAAGAATGGAGCCATGTAGAGTCATGAAGTTGTTAAAGACATGGGTACTACAGACTCGAAAACCCAGATAGATGGTCCTATCGATCTGCTTCAGTCAACAAAAGTTGCTGCACAGTCCACAAGGTCGTTGCGAAGCTCACAACACTAGAAACGAAACAATGAAAAGCTATCTCTATATTCTTCAGGTCTTCGACTGTTCATCAATAGGTTCTATTAATTACACCTTAAAATTGATGAGCCCGGGTCTCAGTGGCTCATTAGTCCTAGTGACAAAACTCAAGCCAACCTAAGCCCCCTGAACAAGAACATCGCGCAAGCTATCGCAGTGAACCCAACAAGTAACTTTACGAAAATTAGAACTGGGTTTGTGCATCGGCGTGAGAGTTGATCCAGGCACCTGGACCGTGATTCGAAAGGAACACGCCCAGAAAATGCCAGGCCGCTTTCCAGCATTGCCATTTTCTTCTCCATACCGAGCTGATATTCTTCATCGGCCAACCTGTCAGCCTCCAGAGTCGACCGAATGCTCGTGTCTGGCGATCCGAACCTCTCATCAACTTGAGGGTTGCTGAGTGTGGCATTCGAGTCCAGCACAAACACTTCGTCGGCAAAGAAGTCGCGCACTCCATCCTCCCACTTCGTCTTTTGCGCATAAAAGTTGATCAACTTGATTGACTTGTCGATGGCGTCTCGGGCGCCAATGATGTGGTTGAAGGAGTCGAGGTCCCTGGGGCTTCGGGGTTGCTTGGACTCATCATAGTGCGCGTGGCGCTTGGATTGGCCAGAGTAGGTGTGGAAGGTGATGATAGGCCCTAATCTGGCGAACTTGCCGGGCTTGAACCTGAAGAAGCCTGGAACGGGTGAGTCAGCGTGGAATCATAAGTGGGAAGAGGAATGAGCGTGAGATATCAGAATAGGGCTCATGGAGATCTCACCTTCGCTATCTTTGCCATCCAGATCTCCAGGGTTGGACAGGCGACGGAGCGTGTGCCCCACCGCGTACGAATCTTGGACCATGTGCAGACAGTGACCAAAGGCACGCTTGGAGATGTTTGCCTTCCGGTACGAAGGCGTTCTGCCCAAGAACAGCTGTCTCAGGCTTGCCTCTCCAGAGGGATCAGAGTAGCTGGAGAAACGCGTCGGGAACCGGCCGGCAAGGCTGTCAGTCTCCTTCACATCCTGAGCGCCGATCGCGAGCTTGTAGATGATTTCTAACCAAGAAAGCATGTTTGCCTTGGTGTCGTGCGGATCTTCATTCGACTGGCCGGCCATTGCGTGGAAGAATTGCAAATCTCCAAAGTGGCTCCTCTGTGTGAGACTGCTAGGCGCGCCGGCGTAGAAGTCTCCTAGAAACTTTTCGCCCAGTGCCAGTTCGCTATTGCTCTCTCTAGAGTCTTCGAATAGTAGACATAGCGGGTCATCGCTCCAAAGGAGACCACGCATGTACTCCCATTGGGTAGCGTCGAGATTGTTGTACTCGGTTCCCTTTGGAAAGCGCATCCTAGATGCGATGAAGGCGGCGATGGCGATGTCTTCGTGGACTGGGTCTCGGATCTTGATGCCAAGTGGGCCATTGAATCCAATTTCGAAGGCTGCATGAACGTCGCCGTTGGTCTCATCGGGAGTGTTTGCGACATCAACCATTTGGCTCGCCGAATTCTCGGTTAAGTAGACCTCAACATGGCCTGGAAGATGTGTCAACAATGGCAGAGACGGCGTGGACCCGGAGATTGAAATACCTGTAAAGGGGTGGCCGGTAAGGTTGTAGTCTAGCACTTGGCAAGAGACCAACTTGGGGTTGCTCGACTTTGTCCGCAGATAGTTGTCGTTCCATCTGCCATAAGGATCACAGAACTCTACCTTGAATGAGAGGGGATTGTCAGGATCAGAAGGGTGATACAGCTCGTAGACGACCTCTCCCTGGCTGCCCGAGAAGCCTACATTGCACCTATTAGCTGCCGATTATTACCTGTCGCCAGTGCAAAGTTTTGCTACATACCAAAGCTGTCGTTCAATTGAATCAAGGCTTCAGCTCCGGCTTTGATTGTGTTTGGAGGGCACCCTTTGGCCCAAGAGCCTAGAATGGCCTTCGACCGATCAAGTGCAAAGTCAACTTTGGTTTTGTTGTAAATGTAGATAAACGACTCGTAGCCGCTGGATGGCGTGAAGATGGGCTCTTGCTGATCGGCCATTGTTGAGAACAAGTGCTACAGGGACTATGTTAATGGAGAGTTTATTGGGTATATGCCGTAAGAGGACTTGCCTTTGATTTTATATCAATTCTGCAGATGAGGTACGACTACCGATTGGAAGCTGCAGATACGTCTTGTGGCCCCGTTGCGCTTCTCAAACACGGCCGAATTACCATTTTCACCTTCCATGCTGACGATGGACCACGGTCTAGGACCCTCGAAGTTTGAGCTGAACGTCAGCTTCTTGCCTACTTGGGACTCGACGATTTTCACAATGATAGCCAGATTTCGGCTGTGGACCAGTGCAGTGACACCATTCGAGCAAGAATCAGCTAAGTGCGTAACCGCTGGCAAAAGTATGCTAGTGACAGATACCGATTGCGGGCGTGGCGATTACCTGCGCTCCTATTCGAGCGGCCCAGGCTTGACTTGTCCATCTTAGGAGAGCTGAGCAAACCCAATTTGGATATCTCTGCGGTAGGTCCACGAATAAATCCGGGGACAAGAGGTTTCCGGACGATCTTCAAGCCAATTGAAGATCCCGGTAAGTGGGTTGTCGAAGGTCTAGACTCCAACAAGCAGTACCGCGCCAGTGGTTCTGGGGCTGGGACCCAACAGGGGTTGTCTGCGGCCTTCGATAGTGCCGACAGCCTCACATCCCTATTCCATAACGGGGCCCAATGCTCTGAATTGAGTTACGCTCCGGCATGTCCTTTCAGTTCAACGGATAGAACGGTGCTTCGCACTGCTAGCATCAGCTGTGGGCTAGCAAGACGATCATGCGTGGTCGACACTCTAAGCGGCAAGTAGGGTTTCGAGAAGACCCTGCAGAGTGGCGGGCTGATGCATTAAGAGGGTCCTTGAAAAATGACAAGTCGAATTACGACCAATTGTTACAATGGCATTATGTGTTTCATAGGTACTTGAATGGATACGATCTTACATGAATTCCCACGGCGGCGTTGCCAAAACGAGTTCACATGTCTCGTTGGCGATGCAACCTCAAACATAGGGCTCTAGCTCTTTCTCCGTCCACTTCCACAAACTCTCTGCAAGCTCTTCATTCAGCGCGTTCTTAGAGTCCTTGCCTTTGACACCCACAGGCCAGTAGAACACACCAGTCTCGGCATCCGGACTGACCGAGGCCCACAGCTGGTTCAGCGCACCCTTTGACACGGGCGTCGACACAAGCCAAAGGACGATGCCTGCAATTGGCTTGACAAGAGGGTAGCTGGCGATTGGACCGCTGACGAGATTCGTGTTGACAGCTCCAGGGTGGATCGAGATGCAGCGGATCTCAGGGTATCGCTTCGCAAGAGCCTTGGAGTGGTGGATGTTTGCCACCTTGGACGCGCCGTAACGCGCCCAAGTTCCCGTGGAGGCCATGTCGGTCTTGAAGTCGTCAAAGTTGTAGAGGTTGCTCGGAACCCAGTTCTCGGCCGCTGAGGAGAGCGAGATGATGCGCACGTCCTTATCAGGGCCGACCTTGGCGGTGTGCTGGAGTGTCGGCAGGAGGAGCTTGGTGAGAAGAGCGTGTCCCATGTGGTTCGTACCGAATTGGATCTCGTAGCCCTCCTTTGTTACACCGGGCGGCCATGCCATGATGCCGGCATTGTTCATGAGGATATGAAGGAGCTGCGACTTCGACTGGAACTCCTTGGCAGCACGCTTGATGCTGTCAAATGACGTCAGGTCGACCTCGAGGAACGAGATGGGGGCCGCGTCTGGCACTGTCTTCTTGATGTCCTCAATTGCGGCCAAAGCTTTGGACTCATTTCTAGCTCCGAGGTAGATGTGGGCTGGCTTGTGCTTGCTGAGCTGGGTGATCGTTTCCTTGCCGAGGCCGACATTGCCCCCAGTAACAAGGATGATCTTGCCTGTAAGGTCAGGAATATCCTTAGTTGCGAAGCGCACCATTGTGATAATGTGTCTATATGTGAATTTCAGTGATGGGGATGTAGCAGTGTGAAGATGGAGAGAGCCATCAAATGTGAAAGCTGTTGAGGATGCTTAGATAGTGAAATAGTTCACCCGACGCCGCCGTTCAGGAGGGAGCAAGGGCGAAGACGTAATTTAAGCCTAGACTCAAGCGGGGTTGGCTGGAACTTAGTTTCTGAAAGCCGGCGGAGCCCGAATACCGTAGGCGGACTTGCGGAGAATGTGGGCCCCGATCCGGGACCTTGGCACCTTTGCGGCACAGTCGCCGACCGGAGTAAGCCGGGCTTACACCGATCGGGCTCCGGTGTTGCTTCCCCGGATAAGTAAGTGTTTGATCACATGATGGTTAAAAACAAATTTAACAAGATTTCATTCCTTAGTTCAACATATTGGTAGTACCAGCAACCTTCCGGTCACCAAATGGTCCTCTCGTAACCCATAAGCCCGCCGCAGAGATACTCACGCTTTACTCCCGAAGAAAGTCTATGGCTGATGCATCAAGGCACACAGTAAGAATGCAAAGCCACTCATTACCATACAAGTCCATTACTTGATAATCCTGCATCTGTTAGACTGCAGATCCCCAATTATCTACTTTCTACTGGCGAAGTCTCTATCAATAGGCTGTATTATCACCCGGCGGTAGCTCGTCAAAGCAGGCGAGCCGCTGTCCGTAACTTCAAGTATCAAGTGCAGCGGCAGGCCTCGCTCCAGAGGAATCTTCTCTCTGACCACAATGCAGGACTTTTCTGCAGGCGCAATCTTGACCTCCACTTTACTTCCCACGTCGTTGAGAGCCTTGATCTCGATGTCAGACACCTCCAGTCCGTGATATGTCTGCAATGAACTTGGCTCGCGGTACTGATACCATTTGAAGCTGAGTTTGTCACCGTCAGGGTCGTAACTTTCCGACGCATCGAAAGTAACCACGCCTCCGGCATCAGCTTCGATGTGAATGGGCGTCAAGTTGGAATCGCCATTGACAACCGCGACGGGATGATGGTTGACCTTACTGAAATCGGACGTCAACGTCCACTGCATGTGTGCGGCGAAGTCATCCTGGAATGCATTTCTCCACCTCCAGATGGTTGCTTGATTGGACCTGTGCGGCTTGCCATCCACACCTGTCACAGTGTCGATGGCGTCTGCAAAGTGACCTCTAGAAGAAAGCCCCTTGGAGCTCACGTTCACCGGAATATAGCGGCCGCCCCAAGATCCATACAGAGGTTCCTCTGGAACACCCAGGCCGTTTTGGATAAGATAAAGAAACGTGGGCGTGTCTCCCTCGATGATAAACTCAAAATCCGGATATGCGGCGCCCAAGGGACCAATCTGAACGTTCTCTTTGACCCATTCGTGAGTCACCTTCGAGTCGTCGGGGCCACCCACATCGCCAGAGCAAGGGGCCGAAATGCCAGTCCAAGCGGCAGCTTGGTATTGGTTCCAGCCGTGGATGGAGCAGATGTAGAAGATCTCGGGATACTGTTGGCGGATCCAGCCTCCACAATCGTCTTGATCAGAAATTGTGTAGACGCGCAGCTTCTGTCGCAGTTTGGCTGCGTCTGGCCGATAGCGAATCTTGTTGAGGACTTGGGCCAGCACATTTACGCCACCCCAGACGAGAACCCAGAGAGGATCTTCTCCAGGTGCCGTCAATCGCTCGAGAAGAAGTTCACCTCCTTCGCTAAGCGGTATATCGTCACCGACTGCTTCCATACCGTAGACCTGAGGAATGTCTCTGTCAGAGAACTGTTTGCGGACTTCGGGGGTAGTTTGCACTCACTGGAGGACCAGACTTGATCAGGTCCCTCACGCTCTGCGCCGACGGGTATGGGGAGTCTGTTGGGGCATGAGCGTTGAGGTTGTCAACTACTTTTTCGTACGCGTTGACAATCTCATGGAGATTTTGCGGTGCGACCTTGTTCTTGAGCCATGTTGAAGTGACGGCAACTACACCTTCTGTGCAAAATTGATTGGAATAGGTGAGATATCTGCAAAAGGATTCTGCATCATCAGGTTCGTTGGTGATATCTGTCAGAATGAAGACACGCGGTTTTGACGGAAATGCATTGAGGGCTGCTGCACTTCGAGTCGTTGACGATGCCATGAAGAATGGAAGATTGTTGCTCGGCTATAGTCGGACTTGGGTCAGAGGTAATACTTAATGTTGAGCTCGGAATTCGGCTTCCGATCTGGTCAGACGATCTCAGCCTGGTGTTTGGATGTTGTCGTCTCTTAAAGTCGTTCTCAACCAGTTGCGAACGGGTAAGATTGCCGAAGCTAGCTGCGATATTGTTAACCCAAACTTTAAAGCCTGATGTTAGCTGAAACAAACGTTCTATTCAACCGCTCGACTTCCTCTAAATAGGTAGCTGGAGGCTCCAGTGGGATATTTGCCGACGGGAAGAGCCAAGGATTCGGATGAGGAATTACGGGGAAGCTAATTGACACCTGATTCAAACCAGTTTGGACCATCCGAAATAGGCAATGTGAACCACCGGCGAACCCCTCACGACTGCCAACCTAGCACCAAAGAGGAACCCAGAGCCTTAAAATCCCAAGTCAAGAAGGAAGGGTTCCTTGGATGAACCTTGCCCAGTGCCACCTCCGCATAATTCGATCCCCACGGGGACATAGTCATGCCAAATGTCGGTTGAACGGTTTTCAGGAACCGCGCCTTTGGGCCTCTTCTCCACACAGACCCCCAGACCCCAGGAAAACTGTGTTCGTCATGATCCTGGGGTAAAGTCTGTTCGTGCGGTTGCTTGATGAATTCGACTCATGTATTAAAAGTCTTTGACAATCCTCACCTTTGTTTACAGCAGCCCACACCGACACCGGCCTTTGAACACGATTGATTCAGCACTCTCCTTTCGCTCTTTAACTCCCATCTATGAGACAATAATCCTTCATCATGGCGAATTACGACGATGGCTATGCAGCCGAAAAGGTTGATTCCCAACATGACGCCAAGCACCTCGAAGTCAGTGCCGACTCTCAGCTGGCACTTGCTGCCGACTTTGAAGACCATGAGATGGGCATCTGGAAGTCATTTGTCCGTTACCCATGGGCATGTGCCTGGTGTGTCTACGCCTGCTGGACTATCATTCTACTCAGCTTCGACGTCCAGGCCGCAGGTGCTGTTGTGGGAATTCCCGAATTTCGCAAGGACTTTGGTTACGAGTTCAATGGAGACTACGTCCTTCCAGCTATCTGGCAGTCCGCCTTTAGCGGTGCACCTATTGCCACGTAAGCATGGGACTTTGCAATTATGATATGATGCAAGTGAGACTGACTTTGTCTTCTAGTGCCGTAATTTCATCGATCGCCTCTGCCGAGCTTGCCGATTACATTGGCCGAAAGAAAGTCCTGGCCCTGGCCCTCATCATCTCCTTTGTTGCCGTCGCGATTGAGTTTATCGCAACGACCAATCCAGTCTTCTTTGCTGGAAAGCTTCTCAATGGTTTCATGGTTGGTGCTGTGGGCACCATCATGGTAAGCTACATTGGAGAGATTACACCATTAGCTCTTCGCGGCATCTTCACTTGCGGAGTCGGTGTTGCCTACGGAATCGGGCCTCTCGTTGCTTTCATTGTCATCAACTACACTGGCACCGTCGAGTCTCGTTGGGCCTACCGCACAGTTTTCTGCTGTCAATTCGGCTTTGCCGGAGTTTCAGCACTTCTTTGGCCGTTTATGCCCGAGTAAGTTTTCAATCCTTTTGTGCACACTAAGTATCTCTAGAATTGACCGACTTGCCTTAGGTCTCCTTGGTGGCTAGTATCTAAGGGGAAGAAGGACGAAGCACTCAAGAGCCTTGGAAGACTTGGGCACTCCGGTAATGAGGGCAGAGCAAAACTCGCTCTTATTGAGCGCACACTGGATGAGGTAAAAGCCGAAACAGACGGCGTCACATATCTGGAGTGTTTCAAGAAGTCAAACTTGAGGAGAACCATCATCAGCATCATGCCTCTGTGCATCCAGAGTTTCAGCGGAATCGCCTTTGTGGCCAGCTATTTCACTTGTCAGTATCCCGCCTTCTTATCAGATGACTCTATATCGGAGGCACCATTCGTCATAAAAGCAACGGTACTAACTATTGAATCCGTAGACTATCTTCAGCTCGCTGGTTACTCCACTTCAATGAGCTACCAACTTCAGATCGCCCAGCCCGTTCTATCTATCGTCGGCAACTTGATGGCCGCCGCTGTGATCGACAAAGTCGGCCGAAGAAACCTTACGTTCTACGGTCTGGCGATCCTCACAGTCTTCCTCTTGATTACAGGCGGATTGGGAACGGGAACCAGCCAACCTATGATCAAAGGAACTGTTGCGTTCATTCTCATCTACAGCTGGTGGTACAACGTCTCCATCGGGTCAACCGCCTTTTCGCTGCTTGCCGAAGTGTCGACTTCTCGCTTGAGAGCCAAGACTGTCGCCATCGGATATGCATCGCAAAACTCCATCAACGTTATGTGGCAATTTGTTATCCCGTACATGTTCAACCCGGACAAGGCCAACCTCGGCGCCAAGATTGCTTTCATCTTTGGTGGCTTGTGTCTCTTTTCCCTGGCATATCTTTGGCTCTTCCAACCTGAGACTGGCGGTCGCTCCTACGAAGAGCTCGACGAAATGTTTGCAAAGGGCGTTCCGGCGAGGAAATTCAAGTCGTATAAGACGACTGTGCAGTTGCGCAATGAGACTACCGCACAAGATGGGAACCATTAACGTCAAGAAACATGATACCTCACAGCTAGTCAGAGCTGGTTACCATTCTGACAACTGAGATAATTCTACTTCTGAAGAAGTATTAGTTTACAAGCTGGCAATTAATTCGAGTACTTGTTTTTAGTTTCTTAGACGCAATACTAGCAAGCTGATGAGTCGAGAGACATTTCGCAAACGTTTTTTCTTTTGGGGTTTGTTCTAGCTTGTTCAACCGTCAAAGCCTGTAAATAACCTCAGGTTCTCTCATTCGAGGCTAATGTAACAGTGTGTCCCTCTGCGCATTTCTGAGAGTTTCCTGGAGCCAATAAGGCCAACCGCGTATTGCTGTCGCTCTTGCGTACTCTCCTGGCAAGTAAACATGGCCACTACGGCCAGAGACAATCTGCTTAAAGATGGCATCCACAACAGGCTCGGGCTCAAGTATCTTTGATTTGAAGGGGCCCGAGCTGTGCACCTTTTCGATCAAAGCTGTCTTTATGTATGTTGGATGGATAATACTATTTACATGCACAAGTTAGTCTTCTGCAGCTTGAGAGCTTGCCATTCTTCTTTTTACTCACCTTGTGCGCACTCTTGGTGCCTTATACCGATGTCTGATTTCCTGGGCCAATCCTTCATGAAGTCCCAGGGCGCCCATCTTGGAACATGAGTAGTCCACGTTGTGCACGCCAGTCACAAAGCTCGCCATACTTGCGACTGTGACGACATGGCCATGGTTGTTGTGGATCATCGAGGGTAAAAACTCCTTGATCAGGAGGAAGCTGGCAATGATGTTGACGTCAAAAACATGACGAATCTGTTCTTCGGTTTCGTCTAGAATTGAGGCTATCTTCATGACGCCTGCATTGTTGACCAAGACCGTGGGATCGCCGTGATCTTGACGGATTTGGCCTGCGATCTCTTTGATAGACTTGCTTGATGTGATGTCCACTTCGTAGAAGTACGCGTTCGACGCTGATTGTAGTTTAGCGGAATTTGTCACGAAAGATAGTCCGGGGATATGGACTAAACTTACGCAGAGGAGTTCTCGGCGGAACAACATCGAGACTTATGACTTTGATGCAATTTTTGGCCAGCTTGCGTACTAATTTGTCCCCAAGACCTCCGGATCCACCGGTAACTACGACCAGCTCCCTTCTCCAGTCATACTTATCTTGGGTGAAGTTGTTCAGAGTCGCTTCACTCAGGAGACTGTTGGTCTTTCGAAGGGCTGCTAATCCAAACAGCAAGGCTAGAACGAATCTCGGCCAACCACGCCGGAAGACTAACTTCAGAATGCCTGGCGTTCTGAAGTTCCGAAACAGCTCGATAAGCTTCTCAGATAATGCTGACGATGACTGAACAGTCGAGGAAGACATTGTTGGTGAAGCTGTTCAAAAGAGTAGTTGGAGGGGTTAAGACCGGACGCTTGATGCTATTCGCCGAACATCCTCTGCCCTATATTCTTCGGATCGACGGATGGACAGCAAAGCCGGCGGGCAATAACCGTTCTCCGTCTGATACTTCCCCGCAATTGCAACGCCCACTCAGGTTCAGGATAGCTCCCTCACCATGTAACACCTCCGCATAACAAGCCGAGGCTCAATTGAGTCCGTGCAAATGGTCGTGCGACAATTATGCATATCCAGAAACCGAGATGCCATCCGCTCCTGTAGTGCGCCAAGCAAGAAACTACGACATAGCCGGATGACTCTTACGTTGATCAAATCGAACGTGAGCTCGTTTAAGACTCTTATTGAGGATCTGAGACTTCTTCACTTTCACGAAGCTTCAGACGATATCAGCATGGGCTATACTATTGAAGATCGGTTCATAACGTCTAGCCGGAATGGCCAAAAGATCGCCATTTCCATATACAAGCCGGATGGAATGAAACACCCTGCACCCGTCATCGTGATGGGTCACGGCATCGGCGCCATCAAGGCCGCCGGTCTCGCCCCTTTCGCAAGTCACTTCACCGCCGAGGGCTACACTGCCGTCACGTTCGACTACCTAGGCTTTGGTGAAAGCGAAGGCTTCCCGCGGAACGTGCTCGACGTCGGAAACGAGCTGCAAGACTTCCGCGATGTCATCAAGTGGATTCGGGAGCCGGATCAGAACCCGTGGGTCGACTCGTCACGGATCGTTGCGTGGGGAAGTAGCTTCGGCGGTATGCACACCACCGCTCTCATGGCTGAAGATCACGAGTTGGCAGCCGGTGTAGCGCAGTGTCCGCTCGTTGACGGGTTGGCTGGTGTCATGCAGATGCCGCTGCTCCGGTCTTTGAGACTGGCGACGACGGCTGCTGCCGATATTCTCGGAACGTACGTTCTAGGGACTAAGGAGCCGAAGTACGTCGATCTCATTAGCGATGGGTCCACCACAGCGGTTATGGCATCTCAAGAGGCTTATGACGGCTGGACTCGCTTGGCGCCTGGCGATGGGCGAGATTGGCCTAATGTCATTGCTGGGCGGTCTCTTCTGAACATCATGATAAATCGGCCACTGTTATACATACACAAGAGTACTCGCCCATACTTGGTTGTTCTCCCCACATGGGACCATGAAGCATCCTTAGGTGCCGCGGAGGACTGCGTCAGACGTGCTCCTCTTGGAGAAGCGTTGAGGGTCGATGGTGGCCACTTTGATTTGTACAAGGGGGGAATCGCGTTCGAGAAGAATATCGCTGGACAGAAAGAGTTTCTTCGACGTGTGCTCAAGACTGACTGAGCAATTTCCGATACTAATGTCTCTGCTAGGTTGAGCGCAATTGAAGGAGTCGAGATTTTGGGTCAAAGGCAAAGACAATTCAGACTATCGACCATCATTATTGCGGGCATGATAAGTTGGAAGAAAATAATTATCAGATCTTCTAATTCTACGATGTGCTGGTTCTATCAAAACAGAGGAAATAACCGCTCATCAAAGGAAATATACCGGCGTTCAAACGCTGTCCTCAGGACACGATAATGCCATCGATAATGATAGGAGCAGCGCTCGACCCGGCATCCCAGGTAAAACCTATGGAAAGGGTACCGCTTGCTGCAGTGGGAGTGAAGGTGAAGGTGTGTTGTCTGTAACCACCCGTGTCGCTGTAAGTCGTCAAGCACGGGTAACTAGAACCGCCGCAAACCGTTGATGGGCCCATGATGGTATCGCCCCAAGCAACGTAGACTTTCGCATTGTCCTGTTTTGTCGCAGAGTCAAGGCGGCCTGCATAGAACGTTATGGTCCTAGTGGCTCGGATGGGCAGGCCGGTAATGGATTGATAGATGTAAGCCTGGCGGTTTGAAGTTCCGGATGGGTAGAAAGCGCTTTGCGATTGTGTTAGCTAGGCACTCACTTGATGATAGTATCCACTGCTGGCACAGAGGGTTCGTGACTTACAGAGCTGAGCAACCCGAAGTCTGATGGCTGTCTGAAATGACCGCTGGTGTGACAGTATCACTGGGTTGGTAAAGCGCAAAGGACCAGCTGTTAAAGCCGTTATCGAAGCCGCCGTTCTGAACATAACCACTGTCTGTGCATTTATTAGATTATTGGTAGCAAGTTTCATTATCGATCGAAAGCACTCACTGGTGGTTGCGCGGCATGCATTAGCCGAAGTGGTTGAAGTGGACGAGGACGATGACGTCTTCGAAGACGACGAACTGGAGGCAGTAGTACTCGAAGAGCTGGTGGTAGTGATTGTGGAGGTCTTCGTGGACGAGCTGCTCGTAGTGCTCGTAGTGCTAGATGAGGTGGAGGAAATAGTGGAAGATGTTGTGGAGCTTGTCGAAGACTTTGAAGTCGTTGAAGAGGTCGGGGAAGAAGTCGAGGTGGACGAAGATGTTGACAAGACAGAGGTCGGCGTAGATGATGTAGTGGAGCTTGTCGTAGACTTTGAACTTGTAGAGGAGCTCGAGGTGGTTGAGACAGATGATGAAATAGAGCTTGTCGAGGTCGTCGAAGAGGTGGAAGAGGACGTCGAGCTGACCGGCAAGGTCAGAGAACCCGGAGCATAGATGTTGAGGCGATTGCTTCCGCCACAGAACTCTGCTGTATTGCCCTTGCAAGGCATATCACAACCATCCGATGCCGCCACACCCCCGTTTCTGATCTGACTATCACACCAGCATTCCTGCGAGTACTCGACGCCGGCGATGGGGTATCCAGCAGCAGTGCAAGCTGAAACACAACCGCCGACAGACATGTTCTGTGTGCCACCAATAACGCCAACATTGGCTGTAAGAGCTCGGCCAAGGACATTATCCTTCAGACATCCCTTGTCGGTCTAACCTGAGGGCAAGACGCTGGGAGTTTTCGGCTTAGCGGATGCCTGATAGACGTTGATACGATTGGAGCCGCCGCAATACTCGGAGCTGTTGCCGGAGCAGAGCATGTTGCAGCCGTCGAAGCCCGCGGAGCCAGTGTTGCGGAGTTGATTGTCGCAATAGCACTCGGACGAGTACTCCACGCCGGCGAGCGAGTAGCCGGCAGCTTGGCATGCGTTGGTACACTGTAACACGGACATCTTGGAGTCTCCGGCTGCGACGCCGGTTCGGTAGGAAAGAAGCCTTGGACCGGGATCGTTCTGGCAGCCCAGGGATGTCCAGCCGGGAGGGCCGGGATTGATTACGGGGGCTGCGACGCCGTTTGTGAAGACGGAAAGTCTGTCGCTGCCGCCGCATGCTTCTGTGCTGTCGCCGCTGCATGGCATGCTGCAGTCGGCTTCTGGCTTCTTCAGCGAAGTTGAAGCTAATTGGTAGTCGCAGTAACACTAAAAAGGCTGAGTGAGTATGCATACGATAAAGAGAGGCAAAGCAGTATGGCGTACCTCGCTAGAATACTCGACTCCCGCTACGGGATAGCCTTTGCTGCTGCAATACGCTACACATGACTCTTCAGTCATGGCACTATAATCTCTGTATCCGTCCCGTGACAATTGTCGGATGCCATTGTTGTTGTCGGTATAACAGCCAGAGTAGGACCATCCAGTCTGTAAAGTTGAGGAAGCCCTGACATCTCGCCTTGCGATGGAAGCTGCATTTGCGCAAGCAGTAAGCGCCAGGAACCAGCCTGGGATAGAGATTTGAGGCTGCATGATTTGTAGATAGTAGAGGAGACAAAAGGATGACAAGATGTGTGGTTCGGTATGAATGAGGAGAACAGCCAGCTTGTTTATATCGACGACAGTGTGATTACCGTCAAGTCCATCTGGAAGTCTGCAGTTGCAGAGTTCCTTTGTGTAACACACGAGATATTGCACTGCCAAGGAAGCCACAAACTCAGCGCCATCATGCATACCTAGCGCCAGGAGCACAATAGCCTTGTTGTCAGAAGCGAGGTTGAGTTGAAAGACTTTCAGATGAACGTTTCCACTTGGATTCTAGAGGCTGGAATAACCGTCTGGTTTCGTTCCTGATCTAACAGCAAAGCTAGCTTTTTCCGGCACCTACATAAAGACATGCTCCTTTGCTTCCCGCCGCCACGGTACCTCACTAACAGGAACGATGGCGCAAATCTGAATGCCCTGTTGTAAACCCACGTGTCTGCGCCTTTTTGCCAAGACCTGGAAAAGTGCTAACGACGTAGTCGGTAACTTTCTCTTTGGCCTCAATGGGAATTTGGTATCTTGACGAAGACCATGAGGCAGCAAGAACTGTGCTTAGCGTCTGGCAGTATTCAAAACTAGTATCAATGCGGCCGAAAGAGCCAAGTCAACTCCTACTGGAATGATCCAGCGTGTTGTTCTAGACGGAGGATGTGTTTCGAAACGCACGCTAGCTATTGATCTTTGTCGGGTTACACAAAGATATCCGTCCACAAAACGATGCCGCTCAACGATGTCTCAATGCCACTGGAGACCTCCCGTGCCGGTTCTCATCCGGCTGTGTGGGTGGACTCGCCAAATAAAGACGCCCGCCGAACTACCTACATATCTGGGATGAACTGTAATTCATTCATGGGATGTGAAATAGCCAATGCTTTTTAGACTTTACTAAAGTAGTGAAGACGCCTGTCAAGTGTCAACTTGGTGAAGCTTGAGCTAACATGACGGTCTAGACTCGGAAACTCCCTCCTTCAGTCTCTGAGCGCGGTCGTAGAATTGTTGAAGCTGGTGTCTTTACAAGCAAGATCAGGTTGACGACTTTAGCGTGAACATATCTAAGAGGGGATGGACACCTGTAGGTCATATCTTGTGGTTACACAAAGTTTAGGCCTTCGCCTAGCAAGTTAAGCTTGTTGGAACAAAGGCAAAATTGACTTTGCTTTTAATTGAAGAAGGCCCGTGGCCGCCTCATTCTACGCCGACAACATTGAAACATTAAGAGCGCTCAACACCTGTAATGTTTTGTAGTAAAATATTTGGTACAGTGGCCCCTTCTAAGGTGTTCGAAGCGGTATGTTGGCCTTTGAGTGATGGCCGTGTCTCTATAACAGAATCAATGTTAGCATGGGTACCGCTCAAGCAAACAATGTTCGCCACATACCTTTGTGTAATCGTCTATGTGCAGATCATTCCGACGCCGCCGACGGGGGCCCGAGTGGTCTGACAAGTTGTGCCTTTGCAGCATGCACGATCGCCAACGTCACCACAGTTGGCTGTAGCTTGCTAGTTAGCTTTGGTCATAGTCAAACTCGCGTAGTGCTCGGAACGCGTTAGTGGGAGTGGTGACTTGCCGCCCTTGGAAGCGCAGTTGTCCTGCCTCGCAATAAGGCCAACATCGACAGATGCGGCAGAGACCGCGGCGACGATGGTAAGGAGGGTAGTGAGAGTGAACTTCATTTTGGATGTTTAATGACTTGAAGATGTGGCTTCAAAAAATATTGAGAGTGAGTGATGTCGATGATAATTTCAATGTTGTTTGCACGAGGGCATTGGGAAGGATTTATAGACGCGCCCATTTTCGTCCGCTTCAACAACTCCGTAGACTAGACCTTGAGAGGGGTATCTTTCTGGCGTTTGAGAGTCATTGTTCCATTAACTTGGCTCCTGGCTATTCGTTTGGGGATTTTCGATACCTCCACCGCATACCGGTCGGCTCGATGACTTCTCAATTGCTTCAGGAGCGATACACTACTCAGAAGCCGGATCTCGGCCAGCCAGCCAGGTGCCAGACAAGCGCACGATCCTCGCGACGAACTCAATTATGTGGAGCGTGTGGGCTGTAAAGTCGTTGTTGGCAGGTTGAAACCCTGTGAGTTTTGTGAAGTTGCCGCGTTCCCATTGTCTCATGTTAAGTTGCCGTATATTGTAGTTGCGTCCATCCTAGTTCACTACTTACCCTTCACTAATCAACATAGGATACCGGATGTAGAGTGCCACGGTCAGTGATCGGCAAACGTCCCTGCTCATACATTATTCGCAGTTTCCGGACACTGTCCGCCGTGCAACTACGCGTATGTAAGTCACAGACCTGACTCGGGGGAAGAAAGCCGAGGAATTATGAGACGACCTAGGGATGAACTGTGGGTATCTGTTGCGGCCGTCAGTCGCTAATAGTCTCCCATTGCAGTCCTGATTACCTATCAAATTTTCACTATGAACTTCACAGAGGAAAGTCGGGAAAGACAGATTGAGCATACATTTGCCCGCGTAAAACCGAGTGACGATCTCTGGTCGCATCTTCGTCTCAACCCCAGATCTGGGGGAGATTCTCCCGGTGCTTCGAGAACACGTCACGAGCTATATGGTACGTTTCGGTAATCTTCACGGTACCGTCAGACAAGATTCTATGGATCGTGTGGGCGTTTCGGCAAGATCTTCGAACTTGTGATCGACTTTGACTTGCTGGCTTGGACGGTAATCAATGATCGGCGGTGTTTCAACCCAGTGAGCTGGAATTGGTACGTGGATGCCAAGGTCTTAACCCCGGTCAACTGGTCACCTGAAGCTCGGTGTTCCCGTCTTCTAGGACGAGTGGTGAGCTAGACGGTCGGTTTCACAAGCAATATCGGTGCAAAGATAGTCGCAGGGCATAATGTAGAACAGGTTCGTCGCTCTTATCCCTTGGTTAAACAGCGAATACTTCTCCCAACTATCCGCTGCTAGGATGAGGCTTGATATAATCGAAGTAAATTCGTTCTCCATCAGCATAAGGCAATGCTCGATGATACGAAAGCCCAGTCGCCTTTGTCGTATGGCAGACTTGAGTTCTGACTGTTCCAGACAGGAGAATGGCAGCTGGCTTACTAGTGTAAGTAGCGCCCAGGGCTCCAGGCCCTCAAAGCATTAAGTCTTGGGCATAGACGAGGGTGCCGGTTTTCGTAACGTAACTGGAGTCCAGTTTAACGAGAGTCAGCCCGAATGGCAGATTCTAAGGCATCGAACCTCGTGATAACTGTCAGTCGCTGGAACGTCGGCGTGTTCCTAGATTTAATTATCTTAGGTCTACGATTTGTTCAAACAATCAAAACAATAATGATGAGGAATGAGGGGGAATACTCACGTTATAACTTACGCCACTGCCCGGATTCGAACAGCGCGCCCCTCAGCCAACCCGAACTCTGACTTCATTGGAGTATTTGTTTATTTGACCACTCGACCGCCTCGCACACAGCTTGACCTGACCTCGTCGACCTAAACGTGCGCTGCTGTGCTGGTGACAGGAATGGAATTGAGGGGGGTGTATGCCCTCGGATGCCTAAGGTAGGTGAGTGAAGGTCAGGTGACTGAGGTTGGCTTTTTGGGAGGAAGGAGAGACGCGGAGATGGGAAGGAGCGATGTAAGATACCTCAACGAGGAGATAAGTACCTACCTTACTAGGTACCTACCTTAGGTAAGGTATGATACAACGGGAACTGGGGTAAATCCTGATTCTTATCATTATGTGTTCGTCTAGTATTATACCGTATCTTCTTCACATCCAATCATATTATAGTCAACCCGCCTCAAAACCACTCCTCAATATCCCTCCTCATCAAAACTTCACCCCCAGCAAGCGTTCCCCCAGCCAACGGCACCTTCAAGATCCCGGCTCCCACCAGATCCTGCGCCAACCGTACAATCAACCCATCACACCCCCTCGCCGCCATGACATCCACAGTAACAGGCAACATCTCCGTGACATTCGTCACAGAACTCACGCTACCGACCTCTCCCAGGGGGAAAACGTGGTCCGGCGCGCCGCTAAAGACGCTCAGCCGGCCGTTGGAGAAGCCCAGCGGCGGCGTGGGCGTCGTAGTTGTCGGGTAGCGGTTTCGTAGGGAGGCGCGGCCGGAGGAACCTACGTAGAGGAGGAGAGATGAGGAGCATGTTGCTGTTATTGATGTGTTCAGGGCGGGTGCGGGTGTAGAAGGAGGGAGGATCTCGGTGTTGAACCAGTCCATGAAGAGCGTCTTGTTGGCTCTTGCGTCGTCGAGGGCGCTGGCGGGCTGTTTGTCACCCCATCCCCAGCGCGCGAGGGGAACGGGGTTGATGAAGGGGAGGCGGCCGTTGTGGGCGGCTATCATATTCCATGTTAGTCGTCGGTGTGTTCCTCGGCTGACAAGTCACAGAGAAACAGGGCTTGTTCCTTTTTCGAAGACGAA